AAATTCTGTTCACATATGTTGTTATTTTCAATAGCGTAGAGTAGCGATTCTCTGATTGGTTAATTCACGAATGTTGTGAGAACTGCACATTTCATCAGTAATTTTAATCAAGTTAAGCGTCGTTTCACTGTAGTAATTTTATAAAACAATTAGCAAATGGTTTTCCCGTGCAGGATAGCATGATCCATGCACTTGGGATGTTGCTCGACTTTCGGAAACCGTAAAAATACACTCGCCTACGGCTCGTGTATTTTTACGCTTTCAGAAAGTCTCGCAACATCCCGCGTGCATGGATCACGCAATCCTGCACGGAAAACCATTCGGTATTCCTTTATTATTGCGTAGAATCTCAAAGATTTTCTCAATATTCATGTCTGAAATGTTTATATACTTGAAAACAACACTGTCTCGCTTCTTCGTACGTACTGTATGTATTGTAATGTCTATAAATCTCTCTCTTAAATCACAAATACGCGCTAGTTTGAAGGACACAACTTGTTTACTTGAAAAATATATGAATACATTTTGTTACATAGAAAACTCCACCCACTTTACACCCGTCTATCATAAATGTCAATTATTAACAATTCATTACACTCCCCCCTTGACCAGCGTTAGGAAAGTATTTATAGTATCTTTAGTCTATTTCATTTTTTCCACTGGTCAATTAATTGTCTGCGGTGATTTCCCACAACTGCTGCAGTTCTCGTTGATCTTCGAACAGGCACAATCTCAGACTCTTGATCGGTTGTAGATTCGGTTTCGTTAGACTCGTAATTCACCTCCAAGGGATACAACTTTTTAATAGGTCTGTCGTAACATCGTAACCCGTCTTCCCTTGCAATCTTGACAACAGCTTCTCGAACCCTTCCATCGTTGCTCTTGCGCAGACTTTCGACTCTGCCAAGTTTCCAAATTGATCTTGGAATCTTAATTCCTTCGCCTTGTATTATCACCATATCTCCAATAGCAATAGGTGCAATAGATTTCTTCTTTACCGATAGATTGTGGTTCTCTCTCAAGGCTAGGAGATAGTCCTCCCTCCATCGTAGCCAAAACTTATCAATGATCGTAGACAAATATCTGTCACGCCGGTTTAGAGACTGATGTTGATTTTCTGTATCGTCGATACGTCGTGTAATCTTGACATTAGGAAGAGACAAAACACGTTTACCAGAAATCAGATGGGATGGGGTAAGTGGCTCAGCCATATCATCATTATCCAAATAGGTCAGCGGCCGAGAATTCAGGATTGCTTCAACATCTACAATTACCGTTATCAACTCGTCATAACTCAACTTCGCCGTACCAAGTATCTTCTTCAAGCACCTTTTCGCACACTTTATCACGCGTTCGAAAAAAACACCCCACCAAGGGGCTCGAGCAAGATTGAACTTCCATGATATTCGTTTAACACCCAAGAATTTCTGGATTTCAGGTTCTTTCAGCAATTTCGCGATTTGTCTGGACGCCGCCTTGAACGTGAGCGCGTTGTCACTTATCATTTCCTTGGGAATTCCACGCCGTGCCATAAAGCGCCGGAAACATCCAGGGAATGCTTGTGTAGACAGTTCTGGGACTAAGTCTAAGTCTAAGTGAACTGCACGCGAACTAGCGCACGTAAACAAAGTCAAATAGGCCTTTGCTAAAGAACTTTCCTTGCCGTTAGAAGCAACCTTAACGTATAAGGGGCCAGCGAAGTCAACGCCGACGTAGGTAAAAGCTGGATCGCAACTCACTCGAGAAAAGGGTAGTGGACTTGGGATGACGTCAGGATAAGAGCGTCCTTCAAAGCGACGACATACAACGCATTTAGTTATCACATCAATTCAATTCAGTGCGATCGTGAGCAGACGTGCTTTGTTCAGCTCTCTAAAATTTCAAAAATTTTGTAATACAATCCAATACAACACACTTGAATGGATGAAAAATTATATGAAAGACTATCCTGACGATTATTAGCGATTGAAAGTTGTTTATTCATTTGTACAATGAACAATATGGCAACCAGCTTAAGCGATAAGCTATGCATTGCATGGTCAGGTACTTATGAGTCTCTAAAACAGTTTGTAAGTGAAGATTTACAACTCAAAGGAACTTGGGAACAGCCTGGAGGTGATAGGAAGTTGTTTAGTTGTGATACATCAACTATACTATGGAGAAAGAATAAGGGATTGCTTTCCATCAATGGAGAAAATGCGACCGAAATCATGAGAGAGTTATGTAAACGGATGTGTAATTATCATGCAAATAATTCACAAGTATTTGCCTCAGCCCACACTCAACTATCAAATGAATTATGTGATGATGTGCATACGGATATTGAAGGTCTAAAACTGGGTCAACAAATCAATGGCGAAACAATCCAGTCTCTATCGGCCTCTATCTCGTATATAACTTCTCAGTTACAAGATTTGGTGAACAAAAACAAGACTGATTCTGATATTTCCGCTTTGCCAAAGCAACCTTGCGTATCGGACGAGCTTACTGATTATGTAGATGCCGACAGTGCTGGTGTTGATAATTCTTTTGTCATACAAGAATCGACTAATCCTCGGACGAACAATGGGAGCACTACCGAACCAAGGCCAATTAATCGTGAAGAATACAATAATCAGTTTAACGAGTTAAACGGGAATGCTTCCGTAAATCCTATAGAAGTGAACCAAAATAGTGCATCCGCTGATGTTTCTATACAAGATAATAATAGTACGAAAGCACATCACCCTACCTACGCAGAAAAAACGGCTAATCAAACCGCTACCAAAACAAACCACCAAGATCCTATCAAGAATAACTTAAGCAAGAATTCGGAGCATACCTCGCAGAGTGTGGTTTCTGAGGCCGGACAGTCGCCTGATGATTTTATTGGAGTACAGCGTAAACGTGGTAAGACTAAGAAATTGTTCGTAACGGGAATCGCTGAAAGTGTAAACAAAAGTCAAATCCTTTCTTACCTCAATCAAAGAAATATTTTCCCCACTTATATCTCGATTTTTCGAAGCCGCCGTCGAGAGACTCTTTCGTGTAAACTCCATATACCCTCAGGCGCCAGTGCACTGGTGGAGAAGGAAAACTTCTGGCACACGTTTGTTACTTGCAAACCATGGCGACCAAAAGATCATGACATGAACACAACTCAGAAGAAAATAAACTCGACCCAGAATGGGAGCTACTCAACCCTTGTATAATGGCGGAGACACCCTTGCAAAACATTTCTACAGTACACGGTATGGGAAGGTCTAGAAGACAGCATTTCGGCCGACTCAAACCAATGTGTACTCGAAATCTCAGTAACCTTGTTAAAATTCCTATTACCAAAACTCATTCTCCAAGAACTGAATTCGTTCCAAAAATTATGCTAACTAATGTCATGTCTCTAGTTCCTAAGCTTGACGAGCTACGTATTTTGACCTCTGCACAAAGTTTTGATTTGGGTTTTATAACTGAAACTTGGCTGCGAGAGTCCGTTTGTGACACCCACGCGACTTTATTTGATTACCACCTCGTGAGGCGGGATCGTAGTCTTGGTATCCACGGTGGTGTCTGCATGTACATAAAGAATTCCATCCGTTTCAAACGATTACCTGAAATTGAACATTTAGACTTCGAGGTTTTATGGACACACATTAGACCACCAAGATTACCAAGGGGAATTAACGGCATTGTTTCTGCGTGCGTCTACCATCCTCCAAGTTCCAGCAATACAGATCTTTTTCAATACCTATCTGACTCACTGACACTACTGGAAAGTCTTTTTCCAGGCTGTGGAATTATTATTGCTGGTGATTTTAACCACTTTGACACTAAAGATCTTTGCCGAGATTTTCAGTTAAAACAATTGGTTGATAAACCAACTCGTGGTGCCAAGATTTTAAATCTTATACTTACAAACATGCATAAATTTTACGATGTACAACCAGCCATGGTTTTCCCTCCTTTCGGATTATCAGACCATAATGTGATAATGGTTGAGCCCAAAGTTAAAACATCATCGGAAACCACAAGTAGAAAGACAGTAATAAAAAGAGACATACGTCAATCACGCAAAAAAGAACTTGGTCGATATCTGAGTAACTTTGACTGGCAACTTATCGATTCCTCCGAACCGTGCGATAAGAATTGTGATATCTTATGCTCCGCAATAAAGACGGGTTATGACATCCTTATGCCTGAGAAACACGTTAAATTCCATCGCAACGACAACCCATGGATAACCGAAAAATTGAAACAGCTGATCAAGTTTCGACAACGTGCGTTTTCATCTAATAACACTACTCTTTTCAAATTCTACCGAAATAAAGTGAATAGAATGAGAAAATCTTGCCGGGCAGACTATTTTGCTTCAAAAGTTGCTAATCTGAAAAAGTCTAACCCCAAATCTTGGTGGACAGAGGTTAAACGTATCTCCGGTATGAGACCTGTATCTGGCAGTTTGCTTAACCAACTTCATGTCGAAGATACAGAACATTTAACGCACAAAGGTTTTGCAGATTTAATTAACAAAAGCCTAATAGAACCAATGAATACTTATGATCCCTTAAATGTCACAGATTTGAACACCTTGTTTGAGGAGATTCCTGATTATCCGTTAGATGTAAACATGAATTTGACAAATACTGCATCGGTCTTGAAAAAACTGAAAAGCTTGAACCCGCATAAAGCTCCGGGCCCTGATGATATCCCCAATTGGATTCTTCGTGATTATGCCGAAATTCTTGCTCCCTCTGTATCGGACTTATTGAATTCGTCCTACAAGCAAAAAAGACTGCCCTCATGCTGGAAACAAGCTAACATTACACCTATTCCGAAAGAGAAACCTGTTAAAGACATAAGCAAACAGCTCCGACCTATTTCGTTAACTCCGGTTCTGTCTAAACTTGCAGAAGAGTTTGTTGTTGAAAAATATATCGCTCCAGCAGTGTTGTCGTCAATTGATCCTTTTCAATTTGGTGGCATCCCTCGATCATCTGCTACAAAAGCCTTAATTTCTATGGTTCATGCGTGGACTCAAGCCACAGATGGAACTGGAAACGCTGTAAGAGTGGTTCTTTTTGA